AAGACCACGAAGTGGCCTACAGTTGGCTCGGGGAATCCAAAATGTAGCCCGGGAATGAAGTTCTGGGAGCTCGAAGAGCACGAAGTGGCCTACTGTTGGCTCCGGGCACTCAAAATGTGGCCCGGGAATGGAGTTCTGGAAACTCGAAGAGCTCTTCGAGTTCCCAGAACTGGCCTACAGTTGGCTCCGGGCATTCAGAATGTGGCCCGGGAATGGAGTTCTGGGACCTCGAAGACCACGAAGTGTGCAACTGTTTGCTTAAAACGACTTCCGCGGTTTCTCCCCGGCACCCGCCCAGACCCCCCTGGGGAGTCAAGATGCTCTCTTTTGACACTATTAGAAACTTATCAGTCTTCGCTGTTAGGTAAAAAACAGTCTGGGACGATTTGCCGAATATGTTTGACTCAGTTTGCGTTGTTGTTGGCTATGTTTTAGCTTTCGTCCAAAATCCGCATGTAGAAGGACATGCCCGACCTGAGCATAGGTACTCGTGGCCTGGCTGACCGCGGGCCGGCAGCAGTCCCCTTGGGGACTCTGTTCCTCGGAAGACCACCGCGCACGAGCGGCCCGCCCCGGTCTCTCAGCCGACCTCTCTCCTCAGACAGGAGGACGCCCGCTGTCCACCTGCACAGGTCAGGGCTCGACTACAACAGTGATTCACACGAAGAGCTATTCCTGCGCATATAAACCTACAAACAATGACTCGAACTCTCGCACACGATACGTATGTTCCGTAGCTTCGACAACTCAACTCTCCTCATCCTCCCTCGTCCCCACTTCGCTCTCCTCTCGCTTCCGCACCTTCCCGTCCCCCCGTTCCCCTTCCCTCCTCGATCTCTTGCGGACCTCCCGCCCGCTTCTCGCGTTCGCCGGCTTGCGGCTACGCCCTCGGGCCAACCTGCACCCCGTGACTCTCTGGGCGCTCGCTCAGCCTCTCGTGACCCCGACCTCCTCGGCCTTCGAAGCTCCTCCTCCTTTCTCCCGTACGTGGACATTGCATTCGAACCCTGTGGCCCAAGACGCCCCCCCCCCCAGACCCCCCGAAATGAATGTTGATGGCGTGGCGACGGGAGGGGCGTGAGTGGGCAGAAATACTCGAACCCCAAAGAACACGCCCTTCCTGAGATCCACACTGAGGTCGGGGGCGCGGGGGTGCTTTAGAATCTCCCTCGAATGTGTAAGGCCTCGAATCTATATTGTCCATCTGCTGTCCCCCCCTCCTGCTGCTGACCCCCTGCCTCGGCGCCCTGCTGCCGCGCTCGCCCCGAGGGAGTGCTGCCTCCCTCCGTGCCCGCCTGCGCGGGCGCTGCCCCTCCGGGGAGGCCCGACACGCCGCGCGCGCCCCTGTAGCCCTCCGTGTGGCCGGGCGCGCGCGCGGCGCCCTTGCGGAGCCGCCGTGCCTGCCTGCGGGTGCCGGCGTGCTGCTCCTGCGGCGCCCGCGCGGGCTCCGGGGGCGACGCCTCGCCCCTGTGTGCACGAACGAAATGGGCACGGAAAGAATGGGTACAATGCCAAACAGCAGTTCCTGTTCATTTTGAACAGGACTCGCTGTCCGCGCCGCCGCGGCCTGTGTCCATTTGAGATAGAAGCCCGCCTGCCCAACAGCGGCCGCTGATGGTTTGGGACAACATTTGTTGTTGGGCATTGTACCCATTCTTTCCGTACCCATTTCGGGCGTCCAAACCCTGGGATGCCGCACAGCTCGGGGGCGGCAAAGAGGAGGGTGATGACTCTAGGGGGGGGTGGATATCCTGGCGGGGGCCATGGTATTTCCCCAGGTTTCATGGCGCCTCTTCTCATTTCATGACGTCCCTGGCCCCCCCGCTGGGCCGCGCACATGCCGCCGGTCATGATTTGCACCCCCCCCCTCTTGGACACCCCCCTCTTGGCCGCTCCAGAATGCCGCACAGCTGGCTGCCCGATTTGGGGCTTCGGGGGTCTCCGAGGTGAGGTCTCGTTGGGGCGGTGCCTGCTGCTTTTTCTGCCTCTGCACGGTGGCGGCCTCGTGCCCGTCATCACCGGTGCAGCAGGGTGAGCTCGGCCTCGCTCGGACGTGGGCGCGCTGCTCCTGCTGCTGCTGCTGCTGCTGCTGCTGCTGCTGCTGCTGCTGCTGCTGCCGCCAGCGCGGGCCGGAGGCGACAAGGGCGCATGGCGCGCGGCCCTGCGCGCCCGCCAGGTCGCGCGCGCGGGCGCGCCGGAGGCGCCGAGCTGGTGCAGCGTCTTTCTCGCGTGCCCCTCGCTCACTCACTCCTCCCCCCCGCCAGGGCTCCTCTCGCGCGTGTTCTTGCACAGCGCACCTCTTTCGGCGGCAAGTCATGGGAGCCTGGCCTGCCCTCTTACGTCCGTCTTTGGCGTCGGCTAGCGTCGGTCAGCGTCTGGAGTCAATGGGATAGCGCTGATTTAGCGTCGGCTAGCGTCGATTAGCGTCGATCTAGCGCCGACTAGCGTCGACTAGCGTCGATTTACCGTCGGTTAGCGTCGATTCGGCGTCCATTCGCGTCGATTCGCAAGAACCGGCAAGATGGCATGAGAGGCTTCCATGAGTTGCCACTGGACTCGGGCCGGACGAAAGGGGGGGATTGGGAGGAAAGTGGGGGTACGAAATTTGCTGCATGCAGCTGGTTTCGGCCTCGCCGAGGGGCCCATTCCTCGATACATGGCCGCCTCCGGCGCCGGGAGGCGCCGGGAAAATCAGCTGCGTGAGCTGATTCTCAAAGCCCCCTTTGATATCCCCCCCTGTCGCCCGACCCGACGGACGCTCTTGGAGCGTCCTGGGGATCTCCTCGAGAAGAGCATGCGCGAGGCCAGATCATGCACGTGCGTACAGTGCCGTTTTGAATACATGCTCCGCGTGCGGATCATGTTTTTAAAATGCAGGGATTTAGTACTGAAAACAACGATGAGCTCATGCAAATTTATTCATAAATTAATCATGCATTAAAAATCATATATGTTAAAAAGTCCCATGTATTGAAAACTGCCCTGTAGGTTGGCGTCCGAGCGATGGCGAGCGAGGTGCTCCAGGATCGGGGGGGGCAGCGTGCTTCCCGCGCGCCCTCGTGGCTGCGTGCGGGGCAGGGCGCTCTGCGACCAGAGGCGTGACCGCCCACCGAGGAGGATCGGGAAGGTGCTGAGGGAAGCGGATGATGTTGATGAGGATGGGGATGTGGACGTGGACGACGATGATGATGATGATGATGATGATGATGATGATGTTGATAAGGATGTGGGTGATGATGATGATGATGCTGATGATTATGCTTATGCTGAGGATGATGATGATGATGATTATGCCGATGATGATGAGGATGATGAGGATCAGGATACTGATTATTATGCTGGTGATGGTGATGGTGCTGATGAGTATGTTGCAAATGATGTTGACGATGCGGCTGACGATTACCCTGGTGATCATCATCTGATGATGATGCCAATGACGATGAGGCTGACCATTGTCCTGGTGATGATCTATGACACTGGTGGTAGTGTCGGTGATGATGGAGATGAAGATTCACATGAACATGATTATGATTATGACGATGATGATGATAATGATTAGGATGATGACGATGAGCAGGATTAGAAGGGTGATGATCTCGATGAGCCTGACGATTATTTTGGTGACGGTCGAGATTTTCATGACCTTGAGTGTGACAGTGTGACGATTGTTCTGGTGATGACCTTGTGATGTTGAGGACGACGATGCTGAGGATGAGGATGATGAGGATGAGGGTGAGGATGAGGATGATGGGGATGATGAAGATGATGTTGAGGACGAGGATAGGATGATGAGTGATAATGACGATGAGGTTGACGATTATCGTGGTGATGATATTTCGAAGATCATGACGATGAGGCTGACCATTGTTCTGGTCGTATTTTTTTATCGTGATGATGGTGACGAAGAAGATGGAGCTAAGGATGATTCTGAACTGAAGATGCTGGTAATGCGGACGAGGATCCTGATGATGATGATGCTGATGATGATGATGGGGATGGTTTGGATGGTGATGATGACGATGAGGCTGACGATTATGCTGGTGATGATCTTGTGGCACTGGTCATGGCGATTTCGAGGAGGCCGACGATTATCATGGCGATGATCTTCTGATGATGACAATGCGGATGATGATGATGCTGATGATAGAAATGGTGATGATGAGGACGATGACGGTGATTATGATGATTATGATGATGACGATGTGGCTGACGTTTATCCTTGTGATGATCCTGTGACGATGACGGTGATGATGAAAGTGCAGATGCGGATGATGATGTTGATGATGATGCCGATGATGATGACGATGATGATGATGGTTATGCTGTTGAGGATGATGGTTACGACAAGGCTGAGCATTATCATGGTGATGATATTATGGTGATGGTGATGATCACGGTGAGTATGACTATGAATATGAAAATGTTGTTGATGATGATGATGCTGCTGTTGGTGATGATGATCATGCTGCTGGTGATGATGATTATGATGGTCAGGGTATGAGGAGGAGGATAAGGAATTATGATGGTACTGAAGTGGGTGATGATGATTTCGACGACGTTGCTGCTGCTGCTGCTGAAGATAATCATTATGTTGACGATGATGCTGGTGATGATGGCGTTGATGATGATGACGAGGCTGGTGATGTTGATGGTGATTGTGATGGTGATCATGGTTGTGCTTGTGGTAGGGACGATGATGATGCTGAGGAGGAAGAGGAGGATGAGGAGGAGGAGAAGGAGGAGGAGGACGACAGCTGATTACGATGATATCGATTGTGGGGACGCCTATGCTAGAGACGGTGATGATGGTGATGAGGAGGAGGAGGCGGGTTAGGAGCAGGGGTAGGAAGAGGGCGACGACCAGGAAGGTCTCTGCGCCCTTGGGCAGAATGAGCTGGGGAGAGAAGAGTGGGAGGAGCAGTAGCAGCTGCAGCAGGGACGCAGCCGAGCAGAGCCAGCAGGCAGGCCAGCGGCAGGCCTCCGCGCGGTCGGCCCCGCAGCAGGCTGTGCTGGGGCGGCAGCCCGCGGGTCGCCGCGCACTACAACGTGGAGATCGGCCCCTTCCGCGTTCGGGAGACGCCCCACGGCTGCGAGGCGACGCCCCCCGCCCCCCCCCCGATGGGCACTACGGCTCCGCGGAGAGAAACGGCGCCCATGCCGCTACCCTTCCCTCGTTCTCCCCTTTGTGCGGGCCTCCTCGGAGGCCCTCGTCGACACCGCCGGATTCGCCTCGAAGTCCGGGTCAGAACGCACCCTGGGAGAGGTCCGGGGACTAGCGGTATCGGCACCTTGTGGTGTCCCCAACGGCAGCAGGTTCGTGCGGCGACGGAGCGCCGGCGAGGCCAGCGAAGGCGTCCAGGGTGGGCGTCCGCACGATGCTGTCAGAACGGCGCGGAAGCACCGAGGGGCACGGTGGCGCCGCACGGCCCGATGGAGCGATCGGGGCGGCGTCGAAAATCCACTGCGCGCGCCGACGCCGCACGAGCCTGCCGCAGGAGGAGGAGGAGGAGGAGGAGGAGGAGGAGGAGGAGGAGGAGGAGGAGGAGGAGGAGGAGGAGGAGGAGGAGGAGGAGGAGGGAGGGAGGAGGAGGAGCAGGAGGAGGGGAGGGAGGAGGAGGAGGCGGAGGAGGGAGGAGCGTGCCCGACGGGCGGGCGGAGTGCCGCGCCGGGCGGTCGACCGCGCGCCCTAGAGCGCCCCGCCGGCCGCTCGCTCGGCCGGTCTCCGCGGGCCGCGGGGGCGGTCGGCCGGGCGCGCCCCGCGTCGTCGGCGCGGGGCGCCCCGCGCGCCGGGGGGGGGGGGGTCGGCCAGGCTCGGGCGCAGGCCCAGCCCTTTTTTTGAGTATGTTTGGGCTTCTCTTCTTTTGAGTAGTTATGTTTGGGGTCTATTCTATGTTTCGTCGAAGATCGGCCTCTAGGGGGACACGCCCGACTTAAATATAGGCCTGGCTCGCAGTGGCGAAGCGTCCTGGCTCGCCGATAGCCCTACCAGACAATGTTCCAATACCCTTTTGTGTTGTGGGGGGGGGGTCGGCCATGCTCGGGCGCAGGCCCCAGCCCGGAGGTTGGCAGGCCCCAGCCCAGGGACGTTTATGTCGGCCTGAGAGCGATGGGGGAGGAGGGAGAAGGAGCATACAGGCGTAAGTCGGGCTTGTCCCTCTACAGGAGGAATCTTCAAGAATGGTCACAAAGTAGTCTGGGGACGATTTTTTAGTATTTGGGGATATTTTGGGGCATCGTTGGAGCATTTTTGGGGTATTTGTTTGTTTTTCGTTCAAAATCCCCCTGTAGGGGGACAGGCCCGACATGAGGTTGGCAGGCCCCAGCCGGGGACGTTTCTGTCGGCGGAGAGCGAGGGGGGAGGAGCGAGAAGGAGTATATAGGCTTGAGTCGGGCCTGTTCCTCTACAGAAGGACGGTTCAAGAAAAATCGCAAAGTAGTCCAGGGACGATTGTTTGAGGAGTATGTTTGGGCTTCTTTTGAATATGTTTGGGGTAATTTTTTATTTTTCGTCGAAAATCGGCCTCTAGGGGACACGCCCGACTTAAATTTAGGCCTGGCTCGCAGTGGCGAAGCTTCCTGGCTCGCCTATACCAGTACCAAACAATGTTCTAAGAACCCTGTGTGGTTTCCACGAAGTGTTCTTCGAACATGTATGGCGATGTCTGTCTTGCTTTATCACATCGGGTTTCTGTTCTGAGGACATTGCTGTTGTTATGAGGACATCTCGGGGTTCTGAGAGCATTTTGTGGTAGGGCTAGAGGAAGGCCGGACGGTCGGTCCCTGCTCAGTGGAATGCCCCAGCCAGTGACGCTTCTGTCGGCGGAGAGCGAGGGGGGGGAGAGCGAGAAGGAGTACAGGCCTTCCCAGAAGGCGGCGGGACTTCTCAGACGCCCTCGCGCCCCCTCTGCCCCCCCCGGATGCGTTCACCCCGATGCCAGTGCCCCCCCCCTCTCCGAGTCGACAGGACCAGGCTCCCGGGGGAGGGGTTTGGCGAGGGGGGAACATCTCACACGCCGATGAACCCCAAGAGGTCGGCGGATTTTTCTCTCGCTGACAGGCTTGAGGAGGGTGCAGGGAAATTGGACGACGGAGACAACGACTGATGGAGACGAGGACTGGAACAGACAAGCCAATCACACGCGCCGACAGGGTCGGGGACTTTTCCATTCGCAGTCCCCAGAAATCCCGACCTTTTCCCCGGTGCCGGCTTTTCACCCTGAGTAGTTTTGTTGACGGTCCTTGGGCCTGGTAAGGGCTCCCCAAATCCGAAAATGGGGAAGAATTTTCCGTCCTGATTTTTTCCACGACGGGAGTATGTCTCTAGGCCTCCCAGATGGGGTCCGAGCAGATGGGGTCGAAGGATCGCTCCGCATCGACGATGCATCAGCGATGTGGCCCGATGTGGAGCCCAATCCTCTCCACGCCCGCGGCGCCGATGCGTCGCCGACGTCGCCAGGTGCATCGCCGATGCATCGCCGATGCGTCAGCGATGCGACGCGATCCTCCGACCCCGTCCACTCCGACCCCATCTGGGAGGCCTCTCATGTCTGGGCCCTCCTCCCCGAGACCCCTCCCTCCCCCTCCTCCTCCTCCTCCTTCTCCTCCTCCTTCTCCTCCTCCTCCTCCCCGTCCTCCTCCTCCTACTCCTCCTCCTCCTCCTCCTCCCCCTCCTCCTCCTCCTCCTCCTCCTGCCGACAGGTGCGGGATCGAGGCCTCACCGTGTCCTGCGACGTGGGCTGAGGCGCGGCCCCGGTGGGCGGCTGCTGCAGAAATCTTGCGGCGCGCACCCGAAACCGGACCCCGCCGCTCTGTCTCTGCTCGGGCGTGGCGTCTTGCCGGCGGCAGGCGAGGGGGGCAGTGAGAAGGTGAAGGCTTTCTCAGAAAGCGGCGGGGCTTCTAACAAGCCCTCGCGCCATCTGAGGGTTTTCTGCGTCTTCGGGGAAGGCTTAGAAACTTCTCAGCAGGCTCGGGGACTTCTGGGCCTTCTGAGAAGGCTTCTCAATGCCCCCCGGGCTCGCCGCGCCAAATTTCAGAAATGTTCGCGTCGTGAAAAAATCAGGACGAGAGGTTTTTCACCGTTTTCGGCCTCTGGAGGCCCCCACCAGGGCCCGCCACCGTCAAACAACGGTTCAGGATGAAAAGCTGGTCCTGCGGAAAGAATACGGATTCTTGGAGACCCCGTGCTGTAAAGAATCTGGACGTCGCATGTCTGGGAAGCAGGGCATGGGGGGGGGGAAACGTGCACCTCTTCGTGCTCTTGTTGGGACCCAGGGGTCCCCCTTCGAGCGAGAGCACAGCAGGTGCACCCTGCTCTCCTCCCCCCTCCCAGTCGTCGCCCCCCCGTTGCGCCACGCCCGATCTGGCTCACGCCGCCCGACCCTTCTGCTCGCACCGGGGCGCGGGGGGGTCCTGGCCGCCGTCGCCCGGTGCGCTTCGGCGCGCCCGCCGGGGCGCCGGCGAGGGTCCACAGGGTCCATCGGGCGGCTGTCGAGGAGGGCGGGGCTGCGGCGGGAGGAGGCGGAGCCGCGCGCGCGGGGAGGGCAGCGAGAACGACGGCTAGATCAGAGGCCCCTCGCTCTTGCCACCACCATGGCTATCGATTCTACAATGCGGTCGGGCATATCCTTCTACAGGAGGGATATTCCTAATTATCCCAGTGCGACCCTACCCAGGAGTTGGAGCCCCTAGGAAAGCAGCATTAGTAGTAACGGTAAAGCTAAGCTAAAGCTGAGCTAAAGCTAAGCTAAAGCTAAGCTCCAGTTAAGCTAAACCTAAACTAACGCTAAGCTACAGCTAAGCTGAAGCTAAGCTACAGCTAAGCTAAAGCTAAGCTAAAGCTAAGCTACAGCTAAGCTAAAACTAAGCTAAAGCTAAGCTAAAGCTAAAGCTAACGCTAAGCTAAAGCTAAGCTAAAGCTAAGCTAAAGCTAAGCTAAAGCTAAGCTAAAGCTAAGCTAAAGCTAAGCTAAAGCTAAGCTAAAGCTGACGCTGAAGCTAAAGCTAAAGCTAAAGCTAAAGCTAAAGCTGAAGCTAAAGCTAAAGCTAAAGCTAGGGGGCGCAGATGGGGGAACCGCGGGGCGAGGACCGGGGGAACCGCCTGGGGCGGCCTACACTGCCCGGCCTCTTTAAGCAAACCAAGTAAGAATCCTCTAGGCAGAGCCTACGTAGGGAATAAAACTGAGGTAAGATGAAGCTAAGCTAAGGTAAGATGAACTAAGCTAAGCTAAGATGAGATAAGCAACGCGAAGCTAAGGGAACGTCACTGGGGGAACCGCGGGGCGGATGCCAGGGGAACCGCCCGGGGCGAGCCCCACTGCCTGGCCCTTTAAGTTTAGCTATGCTATGATAAACTGCGCTATGCGATGCTATGCTATGCTATGCTATGCTATGCTGCGCTAAGCTATGCTATGCTTGGCTAATGTATGCTATGCTATATTATGCTAATGCAGCGCTGCGCTATACTAAGTTATGCTAAACTAAGCTAAGCTAACCCTCTAAGCAGAGCCTGGGTAAGGAATTACACCCATGCTATGATATGCGATGCTGCGCTATGCTATGCTACGCTATGCTATGCTATGCTGTGCTCTGCTATGCTAAAGCTCAGCGAAGCTAAGATGAAGGTAAGCTAAGCTCAGACAAACCTGGGCTAAGATGAAGCAAAGCTAAGCTAAGATGAACTAAGCTAAGCTAAGATGAGATAAGCAACGCTGAGCTAAGGGGACGTAACTGGGGGAACCGCGGGGCGGATACTGGGGGAACCGCCCAGGGCGAGTTGCACTGCCCGGCCCTTTAAGCATACCGAGTAAGAACCCTTCTAGGCAGAGCCTGGGTAGGGAAATAGTTTTAGAAATTGTCAGGGGACGATGGTTCGACTATATTCGGGTACTTTCAAATATTAGGTGGTTGATTCTATTTTTTCGTCCCAAATCTGCCTGTCGGGGGACGTGCCCGACCTAATTCTACAGTGCCTCAGGCCAGTCGGCGGTCCCAGAAAGAAGGGCAGCCGAGCGCCGATATATATATATATATATACACACATATATATACACATATGCACACACATACATACGTAGATACATAAATACATACATACATGCATACACACATACATACATACAAACATACCTACATACATACATGCATACATACATACACACATACAAACATACGTACATACATACATATACATACACATACACATACACACACATACATATACATATACATATACATACATACATATATGCATACATGCATACATACATACATACATACATGCATGCATGCATACATACATACATACACACATATACATACACACATACATACATACGCACATACATACATACACACATACATACACACATACATGCATACATGCATACATGCATACATGCATACATACATACATACATACATACACACATATACATACATACATACATACATACATACATACATACATGCATACATACATACATACATACATACATACATACATACATTCATACATACTCACATACATACATACATACATACGTACATACACATACACATATACACATACATACATACATACATACATACATACACACATACATACGCATATATACAAACATACATACATAAATACATACACATGCATGCATGCATGCATGCATGCATGCATGCATGCATACATACATACATACAAACATATGTATAACCACGTATATACATGCATCGTATATATGTATATACAAGTACAAACATATACACCTTTGCGATTCTATATATATATATATATGCGTATACATGTTTCAAACATCTATGCTTATATATGTATATATATATACAGACACACACTGAAAACCGCCTCCGAGGGCCTGGCATGCTCCTGTGCACCTCTCTCGGGGCGTCGCCCTGCCCCTCCCTCCCCCGGTGCCCCTCCCCCCGCGCGACCCTGCTGGCTCGAGCGGGGCGCCGCCACCGCTCGGGCGCCCGCGGGGGCGCCCGCCGAGCGGGCCCCTCGGCTCCGGGCCATGCCCTCCGCCGTGCGGCCGGCGCGGTGCCCCAGGCCCGGACCCCCGACGTCGGTATTGCTATCATCAGGAGGGGAAGAAGCACACAGACACAAGGAATCCTCGACTCCCTAGGAACGTGCGGGAAAATTTATGGGAGGACAGGAGCCCCGGACATATAGGAACATAGGGGGAATCCTGCTACCTTTGTGCAGTTCTTTGTGTGTCCCAGGGCCCCTTTCCTAGAAGGCCTTGGGCGACCGGTGCCGCCTACCCTGCAGGGCCTCGGCCCCGCGGAGGCCTCGGGCCCTCGAGGGCAGCGGGAGGGAGAGAAGGCGGGCCATGGGGCCCCGGGAGGGAGGTGTGCTGCTGACTCCCGGCGTCACCATTCCCGGCGCCGTCCTGTGGCGTGGGGTCCTCGTTCCGAGGAGCTCAGCGCCCCGCGTGCACTCCCGCTCCCACTGCCCCCTCCAGCCCTCCTCCTCGTCATCATCGTTGTCGTCGTCTTCCTCCTCATCCTCCTCCTCCTCACCCTCCTCTCCTCCTCCTCCTCCTCCACCTCCTCCTCCTCATCCTTCTCCCACTGCCCCCTCCAGCCCTCCTCCTCCTCCTCCTCATCATCGTCGTCGTCGCCACCCGTTCCAGCACACCTCTCGCACGCTTCGTGGCCTCATAGGAGGGAGCTGCACCGAAGGTCCCAGTGCTGCCGCCCGCTTGCGCCCCCTCCACCCAGTACAGCGTTTCGTGGCCCCAGAGGGAGCTCCACCGAAGGTCCCAGAGCTACTGCCCGCATGCGCCCCCCCCACCCAGTAAAGCGCTTCGTGGCCCCATAGGGAGCTCTACCGACGGCCCCAGTGCTACCGCCCGCATGCGCCCCCCCCCACCCAGTGCAGCGCCTCGTGGCCCTATACGGAGCTCCACCGACGGCCCCAGCGCTACCGCCCGCATGCGTTCCCCCCCCACCCAGTGCAGCGCTTCGTGGCCCCATAGGGAGCTCCACCAATTGCGGCATTCACAACTGCATACGGTTGGGTCCTTCGCCAAGATAAGGCTTGCCCAGCTCCGGCCCTCAGAGGTCTCGACCCATCCCCCTTGGACCGGACTTTCCTCCCGAGCCGCTTTTTGAGGCTCTTCCCCCAGAGGCCAAGAGTCAGGAGGGAAAGAAACACACAGACACGATGAATCGTCGATTCCCCAGAAAATATGGGAACATATGGGAAGTGATGGGAAGACGAAGACCGAGAGAATATGGGAAAAGATGGGGAATCCCGTTATTTGTGTGTATTTATTTGTGTGTCTCAGGGCCCCTTCAGAGAGTACGGAAAAACCTCCCGGTGCCCGCAGGCTGGACCCCGGCGCGCCGCCGCCGAGCAGGTCGAGCGCCGCAGGCCCCGCGCCGCCGCGGCCCGGCAGCTCCGCCGGCGGCGCCGCCGCGGCCGGCGGGCCGCGCGGGGGCGCCTCGGCCGGCGGCCGCGGCGAGCCCCTCTCCGCGCGGGGTGGCCCCGGCCGCCGCGCGGAGGTGCAGGCCCCAAGACTTGGCATCGCTCGGACGTGTGCATTTTTTTTTCCGGCGAGGACCATCGAGGAGCATCCTGGATCATGTGGCGAAAAAGCCACGCACGAAACCGAAGACAAGCACAGGGAATGGACGTCCGAGCGATGGCGAGCGGGCCCCAAGAAGATGCACCACCACCACGTCGATTCGCCCTCCCTTCTCCACCCCGGCATCTTCCTTTCTCTCCTCGTCTCCTTGGGGAGAGGGAGATGGCTGAGGGTCAAGTCGGGCCTCTCCTGTTGCAGGGGGAAGATTCGATTCCCCTGGCGACGTACCCAACCCTTTGCGCAATGCGGGGCAGAATAAGTACATCAGGATTGCTACAACGGGGGCGATGACGTAACATGGACGCATGTGGTTCTGCGAGCAGCAATCGGAAGGCTCGCAGGCACCCGATCAAGATATAAGGGCGTCGTAGTGGTTACTAACGCAGCCCTCCACATGGACGGCGAGGTCTCGCTCAGGTCCCCGCGGTGCCTCACTCCGCTGGACCCAACAGCAGCCCTCGAAAGTGGCGACAGTGTCGCAGATCGCAGCCCCCCAGGGACGACGAGGTCTCGCTCAGGTCCCCGCGGTGCCTCACACCGCTGGAACCGCCAGCAGCCCTCGAAAGTGGCGACAGTGTCGCAGATCGCAGCCCCCCAGGGACGGCGAGGTCTCGCTCAGATCCCCGCGGTGCCTCATTCCGCAGGACCCACCAGCAGCCCTCGGAAGTGGCGACAGTGTCGCAGATCGCAGCCCCCCAGGGACGGCGAGGTCCCGCTCAGATCCCCGCGGTGTCTCAGTCCGCAGGACCCGCCAGCAGCCCTCGAAGGTGGCGACAGTGTCGCAGATCGCAGCCCCCCAGGGACGGCGTGGTCCCGCTCAGATCCCCGCGGTGCCCACCAGCAGCCCTCGAAAGTGGCGACAGCGTCGCTGATCGCAACCCCCCTGGGACGGCGAGGTCCCGCCCAGATCCTCGCGGTGCCTCAGTGCGCAGGACCCACCAGCAGCCCTCGAAGGTGGCGACAGTGTCGCAGATCGCAGCCCCCCAAGGACGGCGAGGTCTCGCTCAGATCACCGCGGTGCCTCAGTCCGCATGACCCACTAGCAGCCCTCGAAAGTGTTGACAGCGTCGTCGATCGCAGCCCCCCAGGAACGCCGAGGTCCCGCTCAGATCCCCGCGGTGCCTAGTCCGCAGGACCCGCCAGCAGCCCTCGAAAGTGGCGACAGTGTCGCGGATCGCAGCCCCCCAGGGACGGCGAGGTCCCGCTCAGATCCCCGCGGTGCCTCAGTCCGTAGGACCCGCCGGCAGCCCTCGAAGGTGGCGACAGTGTCGCAGATCGCAGCCCCCCAGGGACGGCGAGGTCCCGCTCAGATCACCGCGGTGCCTCAGTCCGCAGGACCCGCCAGCAGCCTTCGAAAGTGGCGACAGTGTCGCGGATCGCAGCCCCCCAAGGACGGCGAGGTCCCGCTCAGATCCCTGCGGTGCTTCAGTCCGCAGGACCCACCAACAGCCCTCGAAAGTGGCGACAGTGTCGCAGATCGCAGCCCCCCAGGGACGGTGCACACACACACACACTCACACACACAAACACACACACACAGAAACACACACACACACACAGAAGCACACACACACACGCGCGCGCACACACGCACACACACACACACACACGCATGCACGCACGCACGCACGCGCATACGCTCATACGCACATACGCACATACGCACATATTCACATACACACATATACGCACATACACGCACATACACACTCATACACACATACACACATACACACAAACACATATACACATATACACACATACACACATACACAGATACACATACACACATACACACATACACACATACACACATACACACATACACACATACACACATACACACATACACACATACACACATACACACATTTACACATACACACATACACACATACCCACATACACACATACAAACATACAGACATACACACAGACACACAGACACACAGACACACAGACACACAAACACACATACACACAGACAGACAGACAGACAGACAGACAGGCAGACACACAGACACACACACACACACGCATACACGCATACGCACACGCACACGCACACGCACACGCACACGCACACGCACAGACACGCACAGACACACACAGACACAAACAGACACATTCACACACACATTCACACACACACATTTACACACACATTCACACACAGACACACACAGACACACACACAGACACACACACACAGACACACACACACAGACACACACAACACACAACACACAACACACAACACACAACACAAAACACACAACACACAGCACACAACACACAACACACAACACACAACACACAACAGACAACACACAACACACAATACACAACACACAACACACAACACACAACACACAACACACAACACACAACACACAACACACAACACACAACACACAACACACAACACACACCACACACACACGCACGCACGCACGCACGCACGCATGCACACGCACACGCACACGCACACGCACACGCACACGCACACGCGCACACGCACACGCACACGCTCACGCTCACGCACACGCACGCGCACACGCGCACGCGCACGCACACGCGCACGCACACGCACACGGGCACACGCGCACACGCGCACACGCGCACACGCGCACACGCGCACACACGCACACGCGCACACGCGCACACGCGTACACGCGTACACGCGCACGCGCACCCATGCAGCTGCGCACACACGCACACACGCACATACGCACTCGCGCACACGCGCACACACGCACACACGCACACACACGCACACACGTACACACGCACACACGCACACCCGCACACACGCACACACACACACACACGCACACACACACACACGCACACACACACACACACGCACACACACGCACGCACACGCACACGCACGCACGCACGCACCGCACGCACCGGCACACGCACCAGCACACGCACCGGCACACGCACCGGCACACGCACCGGCACACGCACCGGCACACGCACCCGCACGCACCGGCACACGCACCGGCACACGCACCGGCACACGCACCCGCACACGTACAGGCACACGCACAGGCACACGCACAGGCACACGCACAGGCACACGCACAGGCACACGCACAGGCACACGCACAGGCACAGGCACAGGCACACGCACAGGCACAGGCACAGGCACACGTTCACGCACAGGCACACGCACAGGCACACGTTCACGCACAGGCACAGGCACAGCACAGCACAGCACAGGCACAGCACAGCACAGCACACGCACACGGCACAGGCGCACGCGCACGCGCACGCGCACGCGCACGCGCACGCGCACGCGCACGCGCACGCGCACGCGCACGCGCACGCGCACGCGCACGCGCACGCGCACGCGCACGCGCACGCGCACGCGCACGCGCACGCGCACGCGCACGCGCACGCGCACGCGCACGCGCACGCACACGCACACGCACGCGCGCACGCACATGCGCACGCACACTCACACGCACACGCACACGCACACGCACACGCACACGCACACGCACACGCACATACAAACACACACACACACACACACACACGACGGAAGCGTGAGACGGGAGGCGGGAGAAGGAGGAGGAGGAGGAGGAGGAGGAGGAGGAGGAGGACTGGAGACCGCAGTGCTCCCTATTCTAAACGAACACCCTACCAAGGATGGTTGGGGAAGCTAGTATTTTGAGTATTTTTTGAATTTTCTGTAAGTCTTTTGTGCGTATTTGGGGGGTATTTTTGTTGGTATCTTTGGAGCATTAATAGGGGGGACGTGCCCGACTTGCGCTGAGGGAGGTGGTGGTGCCTACCTCGCTCCCTGGGAGGGAGGGAGGGAAAGGCTCAGGGAGGTGGTGGTGTCTACCTCGCTTCCTGGGAGGGAGGGAGAGGCTCAGGGAGGTGGTGGTGGCGCATGCCTTCTTAATGGCCCCCGTACAGGAGGGGCCCGAAGCCCTGGGCGCCGCGCGCACGGCGCACGGCGGCCGCGGCGCCGGCGAGCCGCGCGGCGCCCCGCGGGTCCCCGCCGCGGGCGGCGGGGGCGGCGGCGCAGCGGGGGCGCGGCCGCAGGGCCCGCGCCCGGCCTGGGGGCCTGCGGGCCGCCGGGTCTGCCTGGAGGCCGCGAGCAGGGCCCTCTCGCTGAGGAGCCGATCGGTGGCGAAGCCTGGCCACGCGCAGAAGGGGGCAGGGGGAGGGGGGAAGGCTTCTTAAAAGCACCCCTGCTTCTTAGAAGGCGCGGGCCTTCTTCGTAGATGTAAGGCCGGCGCCTTCTAAGAAGCAGCCTCCTTCTAAGAAGCCCTCCCCCCTCCCCCTACCCTCTTGTGCGCGCCGCCAAGAAGCGTCCTGGCGTGCCTAGAGCCCCTGCCGAAGAATGTTCTGAGAACCTTTTTTTTGTGGCTCCCACGACACGTTCTCAGAACAGTTCTGGCCGGGACTCTCCTGTTTCAACACACCGGGTGCATGTTCTAAGAACTTTGTCTTTGTTCTTGGAACATTTCTGGGTTCTAAGAACTCTTCATGGTAGGACTATAGGAATGCCGGGACGGTCGGTCCCTGCTCAAGAGGAGGCCGCCCGCCGCGCTGGAGCTGGACGAGCATCGAAGAAGAAACAGCGCCATAAACGTACAGCCGGGGCTGATGAGTAGGTCGACCCTGCCAAGTCAAGGGTATGCCCTGGTGTCCTGTGCTTCGCGACCCGTGCCTTCTGCAGTCCTGTGGCAATGTGGCCCTCGGAAGGGTCTCGTGTCCTCTCGCGTGTCCTCTCCAACTCACCCCGACTGTCAACATACACTTTTAGCGCTCCGCGCGGATTTCTTGGTTCCGCGCTGGGCCCCCACGGCGGCGCCTCTGGCGCCGCCCCTGGCGCTCTCCGCGCGCCTGGGGAGTCCAGCGCAGATCCAAGAACTCCGCGCGGAGCGCCAAACGTTTCTCTTTATGCCGTGTTTTCTTCTTCTAGAGCAGGCCACATTGCCCGGACCACCGTGGCCCTCCTCGCCCTCGTGGGCCGCTGGTGCGCAGGCGCTGAGCGACGGTGATGTGTGCCATGCAGGTGCCGCGTCTGCGTCAGCGCCAGCTTCGCCGAGCGGATGGTGGCTCGGCCACGCGCAGAGGGGGTAGGGCAAGCTAGGTGCGCTCGCGTCATATCTGACGTCCTACCCCTCCCTCCCATCCCTTACCATGGCGCTGATTTTCTCTATCCGCGGACGCGTGTCGTAGCGGACCTGTGGCTCCGCGCGCGCGTGCGTAGTGGGTGGTGGTGCACGTGCGTGCGTGCGTGCGTGTGTGCGTGGTTGTCGGTGGTGGTGGTGGTGGTGGTGGTGGTGGTGGTGGTGGGTGGTGGTGTGGTGGTGGTGGTGGTGGTGGTGGTGGTGGTGGTGGTGGTGGTGGTGGTGGTGGTGTTGGTGTGGTGGGTGCTGGTGGTGGTGTGGTGGTGGTGGTGGTGGGTGGTGGTGGTGGCGGTGCGGCGCGGTGGTGGCGGGCGGATGGGCGCGCGAGAAAAAGGCCCGCGCTGGGGCGAGAACGCCATCCTGAACGACGGAGGCCAAACACCGATCCGAAAATGAGGCCCACGCTGCAGCGGGAGCACGATTCGGAACGATTCGGGAGCAGAAATGAGGCCGGCGCCTCAACGAGAGCAGCATTTTGGGAAAAAATGACGCCGGCGCCTCAGCGAGAGTCGTTTCCCGGGATTTCCCGGGAATCCTGTGTGTTAAAAAACAGTACGCGGAGGGTGCGCGGCCATCACCCGGACGCCATCAGGGGAAGAGGGAGAGTATTTTTCATATTGAGTAATTGTGGAGGGGGGAAGGCTTCTCAGAAGCACCCCTGCTTCTCAGAAGTTGCTGGCCCTTACATCTGCAGACGTGAGGCCTGCGCCTCCTGAGAAGTGTGGGTGCTCCTAAGAAGCCTCAGACCCCGACGTCATGATTTTTTCCGAACGTCGACATTGAGATGTCTCGACCCATTCCTCGGGACCGTTTCTTCCTCCCGAGTCGCTTCCCGGCGGTCCCGAGGGCCGGCGAGGGCCTCCATAGAGGGTCGAGAATCATACCTCCCGCCCCGATTTTTGTTGCCTGGCCCGACGGGGTCGCGTGGCCAGGTGGCAGCCGTGCGGCGCGGGCCCGGAAGCCGGGGCCCCCTCTCGGGCCGGACGAAAGGGGGGGGTTGGGAAAGGGGGGGTTACGAAATGTGCTGCATGCAGCTGGTTTCGGCCTCACCGAGGGCCCATTCCTCGATGCATAGCTCCCTCCGGCGCCGGGAGGCGCCGGGAAAGTTAGCTAATTACGTGAGTTGATTCTCAAACCCCCCCTTTGCTATCCCCCCCTTTCGCCCGACCCGACCCTCGGCCCAGACGCCGCCCGGCGCTGGGCGGCGGAGCGCGCGCCACAGGCAGCCGCGAGGCCCGCCCGGCCGGGCCCGCACGCCTCCTGCGGGCGCCGCGGAGCCCGCCCGGCGGCCCCTCTAGGGGGCCACATGCGAACCCTACCCCTACCCCACACACGATTTCTGAGGGGGAGGGTGGGGTTCACTTCGCTCGGGGTTCACTTCGCTCGGGAGCTCCCGAACGAAGTGAACCCCACCCTCCCCCTCAGAAACCGTGGGCGGTAGGGGCAGGGTTCGCGTGTGGCCCCCTGCTCTCCCCAGCCAGGGGAGCGAAGCATATGGCATGAGGCATGAAGGCTCGGAGGGCCGCGCGGAGTTCTCGGAGATCGGCGCTGGGGCCCCCCGCCCTGGCGCGCGGAGCGCGCCAGGGGGCGGCGCCGGAGGCGCCGCCGGAGGGGGGCCCAGCGCGGATCCACGACATCCGCGCGGGCCTCCGAGGTTTTATGTTCATGCCATGCTTCGTTCCACGACTAGCCTCGCGGAGCTCTCCGGTTCCTCGAGCGGGGCCTTCCAGTACTCGAGAGGCTTCTATGCGCCGCGCCGCGGTGTCCACGGGAGAGTTGAGAGACGCGCGGCGTCCCGCTTTCGTGTATATCTGTGCTGACGAACGAACAACACGCACTCATACCCATAGGGAGGACGGAGGGGGCTATGGGTGCGTGTTGTCGGACGGGAGTCCCCGCTCGAACGGGAGCCTCCCCCGCGGTCCGACAACCTGCACCCATACCCATAGCAAGTCCTCCTCCCGCCGCCTCCCGCCGACCCCCCCATGGGTATGGGTGTGTGTTGTCCGTTCGTCATGTGCGTCGTTTTGGCCGCGTTCCGTCGTGCTGCCCGCGTCTAACATTGTGTCTTGTTCTGTGCCCCCTTCCTCCGCGTCTGCTGCGGGGCTTCCTCGGGGCTTCCCATGGGGGCCTCTCGGGGGCCTCTCGGGGGCGAGCGAGTCCTTTCAGGGCTCCTGTGGGTACCTTCGGGGGGCCCTCTGGGGCTTCTCGTAGGCCTCTTGGGGGCATTCGGGGGGGGCATGGCTGGGCGTCCTGGGGGACCATCTTGTCATGGCCTCCGCGGCCCCATGCGCGTTCCCGCTCTGGGGCCTCCCTGCAGCCCCTCTTGGGGCCCACTGGGCGTCTTCCGTGCCTGTATTGAGCCGTACGGAGGACATTTTTTCAGGAGGGCAAAAAACACACAGACACAATGAATCGTCGATTCCCCGGAAAATATAGGAAAATAGGGGAAGTGGGGGGGACGACAAAAACCGAAAAAAGATGGGGAAAAGATGGGGAAATTTGCGGAATCTGTTTATTTGTGTGTATTTATTTGTGTGTCCTGGGGCCCCTTCAATCTTGAGTGCCCTTAAGAGGCCTCTCCGGCACGCGGGAGCCCCCCCGCTTCCGCACTGCGCGGGGGCAGCTTGGAGGCCGCGGCGGTAGGATGTTTTTTTGGAGGCTCCGATGGCCTGGGAGGCGCGCCAGGAAGTTCGAGGCCCCTCCCCCTCCAAACTTAGGCCGGGCCTGTCTCCCCCTGCAGGGGGATTTTCGACGAAACATAAAAAATACCCCAAACATAATCAAAACATAGTCCAACAATATTTGGATTATTTTTTGGCCTTCCTGGAGTATGTTGGGGGTATCTGGTATTTTTCGTCGAAAATTCCCCCTGTAGGGGGACGCCCGACATAACTCTAACCGGCATCTTCGACCCATGGGGAGGGGGGGAGGGAGGCAGCCAGATGCCCCTCCCACGCGACTTGCCCCTGGCAAGCGGGGGTCGGCGGATTCATCGACGGGGCGGTCCCTCCCGTCGGTGCCGTCGCCGTCAGGGGCCTCGGGGCGCTCGAAGAGCTCGGTCCGCAGAAAAGTGCTCGGCGAAGAGCCTCGGTCCAAGAGCTTCGACGTCCAGTACCTCGAAGGGAGCCGGGCGCAGCAGCCAGAGGTCCTGCAGCAAGAAGTCAAGACACTGACGAAGGATCTGCAGCGGAGCATGGTGGCCTCGTTCGAGCAGGAGTCGGGGAAACGCAAGACTCGAGCGCGCCGGAGCTCGGGTTTGCCGACGCTCTCTGACGAGCGCGTCCTGGACTTTAGCGGTCCAGTCTCTTGGGGCGTCTGCAGCGGGAACTCGCGTCAAGTTGCAGACTGTGCCTCGTCATCCGCGTGACGACCCCGTCAAGCCAACCCGAGCCCCCCGAGCCCGAGGCCTGCGTCTCCCCGAAGGAGGTCTGGGAGGAGTGCGAGGTCAGGGCTGGACCTAAACGCTGTTTTGCTGGACCGTTCGGCCGTCTGTTATGCTTCCTTTTGGCAGGGAGGTGCAGGAACATAGGTAGAGCAATACGAACCACAAAACGAACACAACACGAACAACACAACGAAGCAACAAAGCAACAACGGACACATACATCGCCGTGACAAAAGTTTCTTTCAATTTGCCTTTTGGAGTGACGCGCTCGTGCGGAGTAGTTCGGAGTAGTTTTACTCCGCGCGCCATCGCATCCCGCTCGATAATCGGGCCGGGCGAACGGGGGGGATTGGGAAAGGGGGGGGTACGAAATTTGCTGCATGCAGCTGGTTTCGGCCTCACCGTGGGGGCCATTTCTCGATACATAGCCGCCTCTGGCGCCGGGAGGCGCCGGGAAAATCAGCTACGTGAGCTGATTCTCAAACCCCCCCTTTGCTATCCCCCCCTTTCGCCCGACCCGAGATAAGTTATTGGTTTGGCGCGGTGTAGTTTGATTCTCAAACCCCCCCTTTGCTATCCCCCCCTTTCGCCCGACCCGAGATAAGTTATTGGTTTGGCGCGGTGTAGTTTCCGATCCCGTTTTGGGATGTCAGCGTTATTAACGTCTCCGGGATCGGAACCTACTCCGCCGATTGACCCGGAATCATGTCACGTTAGGAATCAAGAGAGGGACGGGAGAGATCTTCATCATAGCAAATTGAAGAAATTGTTGTCGCGGCTCTGTGTGTGTATATATATAGATACATATCTATATAGATACATATATATATAGGCAGAGCAGAATGGAAAACAACAGCAAAACGAGAACAGAGCGAGCACGACACGAGAAGCAGCGCTTTTGGGCCCAGCCCCGCGCGAGGTGCCACACCCCCTGGCGGAGCAGCGGCGGCGGGAGGCGCGGCGGCGGGAGGCGCGGCGGAGGGAGGCGCGGGCGGAGCAGGAGGTCCTGCGCAGGCTCTCGGAGGCACAGGCCGGCGGCCAGCCTGGGCGCTTGGCATCGCTCGGGCGTGTGCATTTTTGCGTCGGCGAGGACCCTCGAGGAGCATCCTTGACCATGTGGCGAGAAGGCCGCGCACAGGGAATGGACGCCCGAGCGATGGCCAGCGGGAGGGAACTTGTGTCGGGCCCGTCCTTCCATACGGCAGGAATCTCCCAAAAATGGTGCAGAACTGGTCAGGGGACGATTTTGTTCCGTAGTTTTTTTTTTTTTTGTTTGTTCTCTCATTTTTGTGGAGCAGTTGGTCCGGACGGGGCGAGGGCGAGGCTGCACCCGTCCCGGGGCGTGCCGGAGCGCTCTCCGCCGAAGGGGGGAAACCGTACCTAATCTCTTGGCGCTCTGCGCGGATGTCTTGGATCCGCGCCGGGGCCCCTCTGGCGGCGCCTCCCGCGCCGCCCCTGGCGCGCTCCGCGCACCCGGGAGGGGGGGTCCAGCGCGAACGCGAGAGCTCCGCGCGGAGCGCCAACAGTTTCTGTCCATGGCGTTTGTCTCCTCTTCGAGGTACGCTCTGGAGAGGCCGCGGCGTCCGAGACGTCCTTCAGAGCCGCTGGATCTCCGAGATCCCTGATCTAGCCTCACCCGATGTGTGATCCTCGTCCTGGCCTCGTCTTGGAATTGAGAGGGGGCGGGCTTTTTCAGGAGTCTCGGAAGTCCCCCAGCCTCCTGAGAAGTCTTCTGAGCCTTCCCCAAAGACGCAGAAAACTTCGCAGGAGGCCAGGGCTTCTGAGAAGCCTCGCCGCCTTCTGAGAAGGCCTTCTCCTTCTCACTTCCCCCTCGCTCGCCGCCGGAAAGGGGTGGGGCTCGGAGAAGATCAGCACGTCCGCGGGCATCAGTACAGACACAGAGGCCCTCTTGGAAGGGCGCGCTTTCATGGAAATGGCCCACTCTGGGCGGCTCACGTTGCTCGACGTCGAGGAAATCCGAGACGTCTTCGAGAAGCATTGCCCTAGCGGCCGCCTGAAGCTCCATGAAGATACCAGTGCGTTCAGCGGGATGTGCCAGCAGCTTTACGTCAACGCGACGACGAACGAGATGAGGCACATCCTCCACATCCTCGGGACGGTTCACAAGAAGCGAATCAATCGCGACGAAGGTTCGCAGAAAGCTTACGGAGAGGACGCGAACATGTACACGCTGTCCGACTTTGTCATTGCATTCGGAAAGTGGCTCAGCCACCAGCAGACGACGGACAATCTGAAACGTTGCACCCTGACCACCTTCAAGCTCACAGCTGTCGAGAGTTTCACGCGGGACCTCAACGCAGCCTCCCCAGACGAGACCAAGCGCATGATTAATGAGCTCTGCAAGGAGATACCCGAACGCAGGGACTTCCTGACAATCAACACCCTACAGGCGGAGAGTCTGCTGAAGCTGCACTTATCACTGACGGGCAGCGCAGGAGTGCGTTCGGATTCGGATTCGGACTCCAGCCCGGAGAGACCTTCGCACCAGGGTTCTCAGTCCACGTCGATCTCCCCAAGCGTCCGTCGGAATATGGGTTGCTTCGTGCAGCTGCGGGACATGTGGCGGCGCGGGCAGTCCCACCGGGAGGAGATGCCAGAGGTGCAGGAGATCCAGGGGCGCCCTCGAGGGCGCGAAGTTGTTCGCGCTTCGCGCTTCGCGCTTCGGCTCCAGTTCCTCCTCCTCCTCCTCCTCCTCCTCCTCCTCCTCCTCCTCCTCCTCCTCTGCTCCCCTGGGAGGCGGCGCGAGAGCGCGAAAGTGATTCGCACTCCGCGCCTCGCGCTTCGCGCAGCGCGCAGTTGGGATCCCTGGAGGAGATCGAGGCGGAGGAGGCCGAGGGCGCCTCGGCAGCGAGCGCCGCCGAGGCCCCGCGCGACCCCGTCGCCGCCGCGCAGCACGACGACCCGGCCAGGGCCGAGCCGGCCCCGCGGCGCCCCGCAGGCCCGCGGTGCGACCCGCGCGCGGCGGACAGCGTGTCGGAAGCTGGCCCGGGGGAGGACAGCGACGGCGACGGCCTGTCGGGTGGGGGCTCCCCCGTCTCCCTCTCGAGCGCGCCCGGCAGCGGCGAGTCGGGCTGAGGCCGCCTGGCGAGCGCGAGAGGGCGCCAGCACCGCCGCGGCAGAGGCGCCGCGCTGCTCCGGTCGCCTGGCACGGTGCGGCTCGCATGGAGCCGGCGTGCCCCGTGGCAGCGTCGCCGGCCGCGCTTGCACGTCCAGGGCGAAGCCCTCGGACAAGGCGCGTTGAGCAGGTCTGCGCAGGAGAAGGCCCAGGGGGCTGCGCGCGCGGGCCGCGGGCGAGACGACCAGGAGCGGGACGACGCCACAATTGACACGGCCACGGATCTTGTCGGCCCGAACGAAAGGGGGGGATAGGGGAAGGGGGGGCTGCGAGATCTGCTGCATGCAGCTGGTTTCGGCCCCGCCGCCGGGCCCATTCCTCGATACATGGCCGCCTCCCGGCGCCAGGAGGCGCTGGGAAAATCAGCTGCGTGAGCTGATGCTGAACCCCCCCCCTCTGTTGTCCCCCCCTTTCGCCCGGCCCGATCTTGGAGAGGTCACATGAGCCTTTCGCCGACCAGCCTGCACGTCTAGGCTGGACAGCGAGCGCACTCGCCAGGTAGAGGCGCTCAATTGTCCCGCGCCACGTCCGCACGGGCGCGGCGCGGAAGCTGCGCGGCAGCGCGCGGAGTCAGCAGACTGGCCGAAGAACGAGCCTGTCAAAAGCCCTTCCCACTTGCTGGAAAGAGTGACTGAGGTCGCCCTGTGCTGGCTGGCGGTGTGCCTCGCCGGATTCCCCCAGCGACCCGTCGACGCGCTCCTGATCCCTGCCTT